GCAAAATTATCTAACCTAAGCTAGCCTAACCTAACCTAACCTAACCTAACCTAACTTGCAAGCATTTAGCCATTCCGACGACTGCCTTTCCGCTCAGTGAAAGCCGTACGCCTGTCAAATCTCACTTGATAAGGGTCGTGTTACTGCGAAAGGTTTAGACATTTGTTCCTAAACCGATTATCTTGCCTTCCTGAAATAGCAAAACAAAATGTTTGTTTTGCCTTTGTCTCACGAATTTTCTGCCATTTTCTGGCTCTGGAATATTGTTATATATATAGCTTTTCATTTAGCAACCAGCATGTATATATATGGCCTAAACAGTTTCCTGTAGAGGTATACTCTGTACTGTATCATCCATTACATATTTTATTATGGAAGTTTTTCTGTGCTCCATAAAGCATAAACGCATAGGTACAACATTTATAATAAGATCTAGGCCTCTTTGGGACCGAATAGCTTTGTAGATAGATAGATAGCATTAACGCAGTTAGACATGATACAGCTTTCTAAATGTATCGAATTTTGTTGTAGTTGATTATAATTATAAAATTAACCAACTAACGGAAGATAGCTTCAGAAGATATTTATAGCAACGAACAAGGTGCTACTTTTGTATGTACTTAGATGCACTTTGCCGGAAGGTTATTATCCTCCTGTTGTTTCTGTCTTATAAACAGAACGAAGTGGTCTCTGATTCAGGAAAAAAACGTCGTCTTGAGAGCTAGTTTAGCTATGACTGATTCTCGTTCGACGATCGCGCAAGGCCTTTATAGTGTTTCCGTCGGTCAGACCCAACCTGCTTGAAGTCTACCTCTGAGCAACAGCAATATCATCTAGAACTCTTGTTCGTTATCGTTTTTCCCTGGAATTTTCATATCCCATCGCATTCAACGTACGGTCAGGTAGTTTGCTGCGTTATTTTAACACACAAGACAAATGTAAGGCTGAATGCTTATTAACGGCTTTTTAGACCAATACCTGGAATGATCGTCCATGGTTGTAATTGATGTCGCAGGTAACTCCAGCGGCCGTCACCTGCTTGCCTTAACCAAATCCGAGATGAAAATAGGTCGATTCAGTAAATATTATTTTAAGACAAGTGCAGATCGACTAAAACGCATTAAAAATGTTTTTTTTTTTTTAAAAGGAAGTATGTTATTTTCGCTCATGCATTTCGTTATAAGACGAGACTATAATTCTGGAAAAAGGGAAAAGAAAGTAACTAGACTAATACTAACAGCTAGTTGACTCCATTCAGCGTATGTAAAAAACGCTACTTAAATAAGGTAGGTACCGGGCCAGCTGTAACTGATACCTAGAGCCTGGAGTAAGAGCATTTAGGTTTGCCCAGAGTTCACCTTAAATTACGTATCAATAAAACGAATAAATTGTAAAAATAAAAAATAATGGGTTGGGTTTTTTTTCGCATTCGCGAATTCAGTGGCCTGGCATTGATATAAAACTGTATCAAATAGATTAATAATAGAATAGCGACTCGAGATGAAAGAATAAAAAAGAGAAAACGGGTCCTTCATAAGACAGGTTAGATCTGTCCTTCATCTGGAGCAACACATTTGCTTCTACAGTGCAGCAGGCTATTATTCATACCTACACAATCAGGTTTTCTGACAACCCAATGACTCTAAATGCGAGAGTAGAAGGATGCATGAATTTTGCAACTAAAATAGCATAGATCAACATCAACCTAAGCCTTTCTTTCTGGTAGCTAGCTTATCAGTCTTTCTACGTATCGTTGTACCTTATTTAGGCTCATACATTTTAGGCTCTTGACAGCGATTAGACTTCAGTGATTTTGACGAATGTTTATATCTACTAAGCTGGCTTGTGAGCGTTTTATGATTAATCGTAGCATGAATTAGCGTTGACGCTAGATCTCCGGGCTGAACAAACTTAATATCACTGCGTGAGTCGCAGAGAGAGTTCCGTACGTCATTGTCCCGCATCTTGTTTGCATGTATTAGTTCGAAGCCAAAAGTCAAGCGTACAAAGTCTCATTTTATCTGCATAATGTATTATTTCTTAAACAAAACCCAAGCAGTCTCTAACACCGCATTACCTTCAAGGAAACTCAGCATGCCAAGAAAATACGATGATACATTGCACTGCAACACAGGGGGTCCAATATATTGTTTGTTAAGAAAGCTCACGACGTCCTCCTACGTATCCGCGTGTGCATCATACCGAAATCGGCTCTCCCAGAAAACTGCTCTGAACTCTTTTATATCTGAACTAACTACGTAATCGTTAATCGTTGTCTTTATCATAGGTTGCTGCTACGTTTGCTGAAACTTGTACAACGAAAATTGATTAATAACTGGAAAGCATAGGCAATATTTAACAAATAAACAATAAAAAAAATAGAATCGATAAATTTGTAGAACTCAAATATACCAAGTTAAAGTAATTTAAATAAAAAGTAATGAATAATGTCCTCAAGTGGCCATCGTTTGTCGACACCATAGAGCAGGTGTCGCTTTCAACATGTTTTATTTGACTGCATTTTAACAATTTTATTGACAATGTTCTAGGCTGAGCTAATCTCAGAACGCAGATAGACACGCACTTATTGGCTTTCCAAGCTAACTTGTGTAAATAACTACGTGCGGTAATTCCTTTGAGTGCACGATTTGAGAGGCCTGCTGAGCAGTCGTTCTAGTTATTGCTGTAATTGTCCAAGCTGGTGGTGCCTGAATTTACAAGGACACAACATTCCTATAGTAGAAGTTCTGTATTTTCTTCGAACCGGGCTTTATTCTAGTAGTCTTTGATAGACACATTTATGGAAGTTCCCACTTTTAGAATTAGGTGTAAATATTTATTCCTATATATACACATATTTGTATCATGCTTACAGACATCTATCAATGTCAAAAAAAAAAACACAAAGTATGATGAAAGTTGTCAAATTGCTTAAAGTTTTTGTCTCATATAGATAATGTTCTCTTTTTATCGCTTGCACATTAGTAATGAAGGTTTTACCAAAATTTAGTTGTGGATCCCTCACAAATAATTATTGTGGATTTATCTCGATTATTGATCATAGCTTGTAGTAACGGCTACAGTGATTTTAACTCTTTTCTTTTTAACCCTGTGAAATAAAAAAAATCACTAAATAGATTTTTTTTAATTTGACGGGTTTGCCTCGATTAATTTCCATGCTTCTTAATCATATTTTTATGTGGGTAAAGTCTATAGTTGAATCATGATATGGAGTGGAACCCTACGACAGACACAAGCAGTCTCTCATGTAAGGCGCTGTAAAAAGTATCCTGCTTGGATATTATGAAGGAGCCCATATGCGACATAACACTGCCATTAAACTCGAAATGTCTTAGCGTACGTTTGTTCTTGGTACTGTACTTACCAATTGGACACGTCTTTCTGTTGGTAAGGGTTCAAATAATATAAATTTAAATCAAGTAAGATAATTCGAAACTGTGGAGTGCAAGGCGTAAAGATGTTCAAGCTAAAATATGTGGTAGAGGCCTGGACGGACGAACCCCTGGCTGATAGAGACCTGGGCTCGCTACTTCTCGTAAACGACATGTCCACTGTGAATAAAGTTAGGTTTATATGTTTGAAAGCTATCATTTATTCGATCATGCTTACTACTCTATATCTGACATCACACTCTAAATGCAGAGATAAACTGATAGATTACGGATGGAAATTTTGCCCCTGTACTCACCTCATCTCGGCCAGACGTTGAGTTTTAACTCCTGTATCAAATACACTTGTCGCAGCTATACGCTTGACTAACTGGGTGCATGCTTCTTTTATTTAGCCACACTGACCAAATTGCAACCTTCGACAAAAAAGAATTTACCTGCTTACGCGTATTTTGTGAGTTAATTAAAACGTTGACCCAAATTACGGAATCGAATATAATAGATCAGCTTTAAATCTTCGTGCTATAACAAACGATCCTGCTCTATAAAAAAAAAAAAAAAAATATATAAAAGAAAAAATCAAACAAAGTAAGACGACATTGTTGTTGAATAATTTGTTTAGATCAATAGACGGTTAAGCTGTATGTACTACTTATAGACAACACGTCCTTCGATAGGACAAAGGAGTAACGGATACACGGAGGCCTGACATTCAAGAACACCTTTCTTTCATATCAGAAAATCGCAAAGGCTTACGAATGATCCTAATACGATAGCATTCCGTATCAGTTAAGCGTAAGGGCAACATATGAGAGCAAAGCTAAGGGCCGACCCGCAACTGAATTAAGATGAAATACATGTGGTTGAGGTCAGACGTCTCTGCGCGTACAGGCTTTTTCAAGGAAAACTGGGTTTTTCACGGTGGACCTTTAAAGAGGTAGATGCGATGCTATCTTACGCATCAATTAGTTCGAGAACGGATAATAATTTTCGAACAATTACGATGGGCCAATAACAAGTCGTACTTCGAAGATCTCGAGTTTTGATTTATTTTATTTTGTCACGTTGGACGCGGCGATTGCAGTGACAGCGCATTTTAATTGTCATCACGGTCTTGCACGTATAATACGAGCTCTATGGAATCCAAATGAGTCAGACCTTTCAAGCCAAGCTGGCAGCGTTGTTGTCCGCTACCTACGATACAACATGAATCCAGGGCTCTTAATATACTTTGCTACACGAACTATCCTCTAAAGCCGGAATGGTAGGCGTTCGAACCTGAGTGCCTGCTTCAAAAGTACAACCACAGCCTTTTCCCTTGGCCTTCAACTAAGAATCATTGTATCCTACTGCACAATTCCGCAGCTTTAGTATATTTTATATTATATCTGACATTTTTTAGTGTAGTGCATTTAACTTATAGATAAAACAGTCACATATTTAGAGGTCGCCAGTACGTATCAGGCAGTGGCCCAGCCTGTACTATAGCGGACACGAAGCCGTCGACCAAATCAAAGCAAACGGAGAGTAAAGTCAATTCTTAGAAATACATTTAAGTGATAAATGACTAATAATAAAATGTCTGCATAGGTTACAACGGTTAGCGTCGCGCATAAGCCGTCGTAAGATGATTTCGGAGATGGATGATCTTCTGCAAACGCGGTTAAAGAGATCCCTCTCGACGTTCGACATAACGCTATTGGGCATCGGCCACATGATCGGCTCTGGCATTTACGTGATCAGCCCAGAAGCAGCAAGAAAAGCCGGCCCAGCATGCGTAATTTCTTACGTCATAGCAGGTGAATTTAAATAACTTTCCCAACCAACTTTCGCCACCTAAAGCTAGGATAAGTAAACGGTAAACGCACACAAGCGCTGGACACCGATGCTATTCTACTCTATTCTAGCGTAAAAGATATGAGGAACTCTGTCCCGTTATAAGCGAAAATGTCCTTAAGGTACGTGCCGACATTACTCTGGCGAATTTCTTTAGTCGTTGCTGAGTGGTACCTAATATTATATGAGCTCTCATTATGCCCGTCAAAGTTCTTATCACAGTCTGCTGCTCAATGTGCGGCAATGCTATATAGTAAAATATATCCGTCTACCAACTACCAGACGTCTTGAGCAAATTCTTCTTATCTCAAAATATAGGAGAAGCTTTGTAGTAATAGGGTTTCCCGTTGATTTTATTTTCCTTATGATTATTTAAGAACACCGAGGTAAAACAAGCATTTTCGTGCATACAACATATGCCCATTTATATTGAACCGATATATTTATATATTTAATTTAATAATAACAAATATATTTAATTACCGCTTTGTTTAATGTTAAGCATTGTATTTTTGCTATTATAAGGGTATTTTGAAACTGAAATTACAAAGTGATTGATTAGTGAAGTCTGATGAAATTAAACGTCATTTTTCTTCATTTCTAAGTGTCGTACAAATACATCGTCACTAGGTAATATTGTATAATTTGGAATGCGTTTTTGCCGTTGGGTAAATATTGAAAAGAAACTGTTCCTTGTCCATTGTATTAGCCCTGACACCCTTTTAATGTATTTAATATAATGTAATAGAGAAGTTTAGTCGGCCAATCTAGATATTTCGGACTATTTTTAGGTTTTTCACCGCCTATAAGCATTCATCCAAGCGGCTACCTTTATTTAGATGTATACCGACCCATGCAGTAGACCTCAACAACAAACATTACCGCTGATTTATCTCACATAATCGATGTACAAACTAACATCTTGTGGGTCTTTACGTACACCGTTTTGAGGGCGCCCTTTTCTTCCTAAAGAATGACCTCCAGCCAAAAATAGTAGCTTATGAAAGACTTTCATGTTCAAGTGTTTGCTATAAATGACAGAAACTGCTTTAAATTGTGTCAGATAATAGTATATTGGGCTTCGTTTGTCCCAACAGCATACGTTTCTTCCTTATGCGAAACACTACTGGTCACAAATCTGCCTTCATGAGGAGCCATAGAACTGTAACGCTAGCTGAAATTTTGAAAATTTCCTTGCGATTCATTGCTTAGATATGAAAGTACCATTCAAAAGTTCCCCGGCTATCAGTACGGAACAAGCAACGTCCCGCCATAACAGCACCGTATGGTCATAGCTTCACGTTTATCGTTTGACACAAAAAGCTTGAATTCACATAAATGAGTTTGCGCGAAGGATGCTTCATTCTACGTTGACGATGCCAGCTAACGTTTTACTGCTGTTCTGATAGTTCCGGTACTATTGTATACTTAGCTCTCGGTATTTCTATTAATATTGCTTTCCAGCCAGGTCTGATACCAAGATGGTACGCTTCATTAACCTTCAACGCGAAACAAGTCGACCAACTTCCTGTGAGACGTAGATAAAAACGTTAGTGATTGACGAAAAAATCACGTTTCATGCATGTGTTCGATAATTACTTGATAACCTGAAAATATTGTATGTGCATCAACTACCTTAAAGTACTACCGAGTGTAAACTGTTGTGCGATGTAGCATTTTTAAGCGCTGGCATCGACTATCGTCGTTTTTTTTTGCATTATCGAAGGTAAAACAATCTTTATTAGTAGCATTTTCTTGACAATGTTGAAGCGTTTGCCGCTGTGTGGCATACAACTACAAAAAACGTCTTATTTTGCACTCTTCACGTCGAATTTTTCCGTTGCTATTAGCAATCTTGTTGGTAGCGCAAACGATAGTAGGAGCCTCTTGCCTTTGTTTTAATAGGGAGGCGACATGTGGACGTTTTGGCCGTCTCCGAAATCCAGCTTTCAACCTAACCGGTCTAATCCAATGGTCCGGCCGCTTATTTTATTAGTCTCGTATCCATTTACACTGATACTTGCTCACCGCATATGGATATGATGATCCAAATTGGTATACACATTTTGGTTGTAAAAGCCGCCCAAGTTTCACTTTTACTAATACTCTCGGTTGAGCGGCTGTTAGACATCAAGGTACCGATTCCATTTTGGCCTTCGGCCTAGGTTCCGCTTCGCTTCGGTCACCTTCGACGACACCCCTGCAACGTAGAAGGGGCGGCTCCTGGTGAGCTCTACCCAGTATGAGAAATGCGAAACGCTTTCGTTGCAGTATGTCAAGAATCGTTCACTATCAACCCCTTATTTATGACTATACCAACCACTTATATTTAGAACGGCAATATATACATTATTGTGGCCCCTTCTTCATTTGCCACTTTTCCGATGTCACCTGTGTCCATCTGAATTGAGTCCTTTGCCATTATGGCCTTAATACACATCTACATGCATACGCACCGACGCATCTCTTAGAACCTTTGCTATTTCTGACCTCAATTCTGGATAAGTGTCCTACTTACTGGAGTTGACTCGCGCGGGGCGTTTAGTTGCCGAACTCCAGTCACTTCTTTCAGCAGTAGACATGAACTTCTTGTTGTCGGGTCAGTGCCTCCTATTTGAGGAAGCAAACACTCATCTTGATGACTTAGACCCATCCTCTCTAACCTTGCAAATGTTTATTAGTTTGGGGAGTGCGCTAGCTATGCAAAACATCAATAGTTTTCTACCCCGATTTAGTAGGCGTTTGTAGACAGCACGCTGATTAACTTGGGCTGGGTAACCTGTTGTGGGCCCAGTTGCGGACAGTATGAACGCTCACCGTTTGTTGCTGCCTCTGTGGCTCCGATGGGCGTTTCGGCTAGGTCGTTGCAGCAGTATCCTTATCTTTGGCTTTATTTAGTAGCTTCTCCGTGATTTACTTTATTCTTCTGGCGCGCCAGACATCTTTAAGTTAATTGTACCGTGCAGCATTGGCCATTTGCTCGTTGCATTTTGATGACAAGCCGGAGCGCTCGTCGGCACATGGAAGTATGACTCATATTAGGTTGGTTATGGCTCGTGCCTGCACTATGCATTCGACATTTTATGGCGAAAGTGTTCGTTCGACTTAAAAAAAACACTAGGATTTTGTATCATCTATTAGCATCGCGTGGCGGTTTTTGCCCTCTCTTGGCAGTACTGTTCCTGCTCTTTTTGACAAAAATGGTCCAATCGGTTATGAGCCTTTTTCGGAGTAGTTTTCGAATAACTAATTGGCGACTGCCTAATCCGTTTCGGCATTCGGTGTATATCTGCACTGAACAGTGCTTGGCCTTTGAGTATTTTTCGATAGGCCGTTTAATGAGTCACCACTCATAGCAAACGGCCTACACGATTTTTCGAACCTACTCGTCCATAATTAGTATAATTCTAGAGCTATTCAAAATGTGATATATACGTATAACGTTATCGATATTGTTAACTGTTTTTCACCCCTATTTGTTTAGGGCTTCCTATGTTTTCTCCTAATTTCACCTCCGATGTCCTAAAAAACACTGTAATCTAGGGAATCGACTTTTTAGCCTCATCACGAATATCCGAGGGGTCGAAATTTTGTCATTTCTCAGTACCTATGGACGTTCGTCGAATCCCCGACAAAATGGTAAACGGATAGTGTTAGGCCACCACCGCGTACACGATTTGCGATATTGTCGTATAGCGCCGGCTACTTTTGGGCTCTCGGCTGACTAATTGATCCACTGTACTGTTAAATCAAAAAAAGGCTTGAACATACAAACGTAGCTATAAATAAATACAAAAGAAAGTACACTGAATTATCTACATTAGCATTATTAGCTATCCTTAAGTCACCTTACTTCTGACAAACCTGTAAAGAATAAGATAATCCGAAATGAGCTTTCGGCCATTTATTCTCATTCATGCTCATGTTGGTGGCATACCTTGCTGGAGGAAAAAGGCCAGAGTGCAAGTTTTTAGATAACTATAAAAAACAAAGCGTCCCAGAAAATGTATACGCTGTAATTTAATTATATCATTTATTTTTGTCAATAACTTACTATTAGAATTTGCTGGCCAATGTTATTTCCAACGAAATCGAGCGTTTGCACCACGATGTAAAAGCATATCTTGGCGAAAATTTTCCTGACAGGTGGGTCAAACGAAGAACTTCTATAGAATATCTTGCCTGTTTTTTACGTCTAACGCCAATAGATTAGTTCCTAGCTTGATACCTAATATTTCGATACAAAATTTACGTAAGATGGAAGATTTTTTAAGTTTTTTCAGAGCAGATTAGAACAGTATTTATTTTTAGTAGAAGAAAAAATGTATGCATTGTATCTTTCTTTTTCCCATTACATGTAAACAATAACTAAAGTTATTATCATTGAAGATGTGCCAACCATTTTATACGATTTTCTGTTTCGACGGTGCGTCGATTAGCGGCAAGGCTTGTCTACTTAAGCAATAGCCATTTACGGTATATTTTATTGGCCATAACAATATATATATATATATATATATATATATATAGAAGCTTGACTAGTGCAAAAAAGAATATGAACCTTATATTTAAAAATAATGTCATCTCGTGCTTTCGAAGTGCATTTACACTTTGGGATCTGAGACCATTCAGTCGGATAGCGTCATTTGGGATTTTAGCGAGCGAGTAGTAGCAGTGAGCCATGGAAAATTCAGTTGGGTTAAAAATGTCCTGCCTGTTCCATAGGATACCCTTTCTGCGTTTGGTATTTCTTCGGCCATTTGTCTGGAAGACCCCCATCAAGCACACTCTTACGTCATAATGGTGGAACACAAGCGCGCCAAGCCTTTGAAAGTAGAATTTGTTATCCTTACTTACTAAGATGCTTCCGTGTGCGCGGTAAACTCAGGCCGTTGGTGACACCAGTCACTAACAGTCATATATAAAGATATCTAAACCACTGATCTCGCTTAGCGGAAACAAACGAGATTAGTCGTGCTGAGGAAAGATGTAACGACAAGATAGTTATGATGATGATGATACACTGTTGCTATTCCATAATTTAACTATGTCACTTAATTTAACTATGTTAACCAACGTAAACATGAAAACTTAGCATGGAGATCTTCTTAGAAAAGCTCACTGAATTCAGAAAATTCGAAGCTAAATGAAGAACAACATTACGAGTTTTTGTTTTATACCCCCTATATATATATATATAGGGGGTATAAAACAAAAACTCGTAATGTTGTTCTTATATATATATAGTCAAAATACGTACGTTAAACTCGTATCTTAAAAGTGACATTGATAGCTATTCGGCAAATAGAGCTGAATATAAAGCCGGCTGAATACTGCCTAGGATAAACCTTTGCCAAGCATCCTTTATTTAATATATGCTTGAGATATGTTGCTCAATAATAAAATATATCACATATGGATATGAGTGTTTTTTAGTAGGAACGCGTTCTTAGTTGTTTTGAGGCCTCATTAGGCATTTTTACCGCTGTGGCCTTTTTGACCTACCATACCAGTTTATTAGTCGAATTTATATGCAGACTTCGTTTTAATTAAAGTAAAAGCATCTGTACCCAACTGGCAGGTAAAAAAAACCGAAGTAGCCCGCCCTATTATACTTTGTCATAACGATTTCGAGGTTTCTGATTAGTGTGACATTTCCATAAGTTACAGCAGCAATTTGACGGCCTAAAATTGATCTAAGAACTTTTTGTAAATGCGATAGAATATCCATCCGTAAGCTTGGTCAAGATCAATAACGAAAATACTACTAACATGATGGTTTTTTAATATTGCTACACAAAAACCTATGTTACATTTAATGTAGATCGGATAATAACATAAATGTTTTTCTTCTGGTTCGCATTTCATATGTAAATTAGGACATACAACTCTTTTGTGATTTTTCACAATTGACCGGGAGAAATTAAATGTGGATAAATAAAGAAAAACTTTTGATGTATGCCTAAACTTTTTTTTATTGCGTTAGGTATAGCCTCGATGCTAGCGGCCTTGGCTTACGCCGAGTTCGCCGTACGTTTTCCACGAGCGGGTTCGTCTTATTCGTACGTCTACTTCAGTGTTGGAGAGTTCGTGGCGTTTATTGTTGGCTGGAACGTCCTACTAGAAAACACCTTAGCCCTTTCCATCGTCGCACAGACCTGTGGGGCATACATCGGTAAGTTGAAGCACTATTGAAAATAATAGCATCGCTTCATTTGGCTCGTTTGAACGATAAACGTCATGAATATGCTTTTTAAAACGAACTGTTGAGAAGTTACTCCGGTGAGAAGTTTCCTTGACGTTTTGCCATCCGTCTGCTTGAAAAAAGCCAGCCAGTTACGTATATTAATTATAATAGAGATATAAGGGAAAAGTAAACAACAAGGAGCTACGAAAGAAACAGTAAGGCAATTGTTTTTGACGCTCTTCTAGACTCTCTAGGTAACGCCTCAGTATTTATCTTTAGTAACTTTAGTATGTCCTTGGACTCTATTTTCTTTCCCCTAAAGGCATAATCATTTTCTTTTTCCTTGGAGCCTCAAGAGCAAGAATGCAACCGTTTGTTCGATTAGAACAACCCTAGCCACAATGAGTATTAAAAAATGGTATTTTGTAAGGACCGTTAGTTTTATATATAATATACAGTATTCGATTGCTCATCTAGGCTACTTTCCTTACACTTTATAGCTAAATAAAAGCAGATGCAAGAAAATTGTTTGCATGTGCAAGAGGTGTCAATTCTTGACGGTAATGAGCATTAAGCATAACCCCCATTCACAATGATCTGATATTTCTTCAATTTGGGTATTAGGAAGACGGAGAAGCATATGACATCGATCGTTGTTCCCCTTATTCTTGTCTCTTCCGAGAGCGTCTTCTTGACTTTTATGACACATGAGGTTTTGGCAAAGCGCTTAGCCTACTGCTTGTTTCTCTGCTTACATCGATTTTTTTCGCTAACGATCCAACAGAGACAAGAGTATCGCCAAAAATGAAGAGTTGAACGAAATTGATTAACGCTGAAGTTCGTACTATTAATTTAGATGCATTTTTTGCTACCGATTTTCCGTTGTGCTGTGCTAGAACCTGCTCATGCTCCACCCGCAGCCGTAGACGCATTTGCGATACTCTGTCTGTTCCAGGTAATCTGAAAAGCTTATTTTCCCATTCAGGCCTTGTTAACCGTGAACGGATTAGATAACAGCTGATTTGGCTAAAAGTGCAAAAAGTGCGCGCCATTCCCGGCCCTCGTGAAGTTGTGATTCGTTTCAACAAGACTTCGTTTTCTTCTAGCGTCGAGGGTAGCGGATCAACGGTTGCCTGTTACGACAAACAGCTTGCCAAAGTTTGCCTGAAATTAGGTAGATCCTAATCACAGTGGTATGACCTCGTTTATAGGAGTAAATTTTTACTTAAAATCATTGTTAGTGCTTGTTTATACTTGAGCGCTCATGTTAAATCTGTCTCCTTGACCTAGGCCGTTTCAAGCTCAAAGACTTGCAACGAAATAGATAGTTTCTTAAAATCGAGTATTTTGAAACAAAAAACATTGAACTTAAGTAAACGTAAGTAGATATGCAAGAAGGGGATAGCCGATGTTCAAAGTTACATTTCATTTAATATCTTATTTAGAATTACTTCTTTCGATTTACGGAAAATGTGATGTCAGCAAAAGATCCACTTCATCGCTAGTCTTCAAGCATCGTTCGGCTAACCCAATATTTAAGTACCAAGCAAGCAAAGGATTTATTGACTTCTTCGAATATTCTACTAAGCAACTTCATAGGTGCTTATTCTATTTGTCTAATTAATGTCATCGTTCCTATTATATCTATGTATCAGCATATTTGATTTACTTTGCCCCGTTTCGACTAAAAAATAGGGCCGTTCTGTTGTTGCGGTTGGGCTTCACAGAAAACATTTTGAAATAAACAGGCCATTTACATTGTTATCGAACAGAGAAGCCTTTTAAACGAAATATCTTTGTCTGCCTAGAGGTGCTAAATTTGTTCCTTTAATGGGTACCGCTTTTAGTCAGACATCAAAGCAGCTATCGTGCACGGCATATGACTGGTTGAGAGAGTTTCCACAACAGCCAGCACGCGCCTTCGTGTGTAGCACGAGATGAACCAATTTACGTGCGATAGTCCGTCAGACAAAGCTAATCTCGACATCTTTGTACATCTTGGTGTGCTTATGGCTGACGGTTTGCTGTTACACATTCATAAGAGTCAAGCGGCTCAACAGGCTTTCTGATGAGAAATTTCAGGCCATAAAATTGCTTCCTCGATTTTTTCAGGCAGAGTACATCTTTATTCTCGAACAAATGCAGATCCTATCAAATTTGCATTAAATTCCTACTCCTTACCTCACTCTCCGCTTACTCTAAGAAGGTCATCTTGTGATGGCCGTGTAGAAGATACATGAAGTGTAACCTATCGCGGAAATGCATGCCGCATCGCCTATAATACAGCATAGGCTGCGTGTTAGAAGTACGAGAATCCCAGTCTCTATCGACAGAAAGACACAGAATAGACCAGTCGAGCAGTTGAAACACACATACTTGCGCAATCACGGCGTCATCAGTAGGCGTCAGATACGTCATTTGCAGAAATGCAACCCATACAAAACCGTAAGGTACCCCCGTTTATTATTTAAAGAGCTATGGTGTTCAAAAGCATAGGTCACACAGATATCATAGATTGAACGTAAGTCGACTGGGTGGTGCTTCGAAGCGTTGCCAATACGTGATAGCCAATGTATACGCACACAACAAGTGGATGGCTATTAGAGGGAAGGGAGAATGAGCGCGGGATCTAAGTCTTAATCAGCCTTTGTCCCCTCGGGGGAACGTTTTATCGTTTATGGCACGAACGCGACGTACTACATGCTGCAGGGCCTATAGCATCATTGGTAAGGCATCGACACAGCAGGACGGAAAGGTCGTGTGGAATCCGGCATCGAAATGCGTGCCGTTATATGTTGGTGAGGTGCGGGGAAGTCGTCGGTCCGTTCGTTTATATTCGCATGTTCCATCTCTCTAAATTGACTAAATTGATATGCGGCGGCGCAGTTTACTGTGTGTTAAGAGGCGTACGGTTACTGCAAAAGATGTACAGTCATCGGGTATATACTCGCCTGTAGCGTATAACTATAATTTGATTTCGCCTAGTGAATGCAACTTCTAACAAAATGAGCCCTATTATAGCAAAACTCCTTTTATATATCTAACAAAATAATAATCAAGTATTGATTTTAGGCTTTATTACACCTCTATTAGCCTATTTAGTGGGCATATATAACCTCATAGAAGCCTAGCTAGCATTGGAGACTGTATTTGCCTACTTGTTGGTAACTAATGAAGATATATATTTTTTTTACAGATTCTATAACAAATTATGTTGTTTCAAACTTTGTTCGCGAGAACGTCGGCCGACTGGTTGCAATGCCTGCTCACTCAGTTAACACCAGCAGGTCGGGTATAACGGGGTTGGTAACCTACCTAAACACGGAGCACCAGTTCCTTGTTTTGGTCCTAATGGCAGTGTTTGTAGTGATTGTCCTTCTGAAGGCATCCAGAACTTTGTTGGTGGGAAATGTGCTTTGTGGTCTCAGTATTTGTTTATTAATCATCATTATTGGAATCGGAATATTCAAAGGAAACTTCTATAATTGGACTAACTCGAATACGGGTGAGTTTATGGATAGGCATAGCATTTAAAATATGTTTCTAACAGTTAAAAAAAAAGACGTTTTGTGAGAGTGTTAGAAACGTCTTCCCCTTACATACTATCCGTGACTATCTGCTCTTAATGATCGACGAAATTTTCGTCGATCATTAACAGCAGAAAAAAAAGCTCTTCAGCCTTAATGCGTACACTTTGACCCGTGTCCCTTAATGTGTTGTGAGCTTGAAAGGTTGTTTTAGCGTTTTGGATAGATGAACAGCCAACGAAAAAATGTACGCGTCCAGGAGAACGCAAGACTGATTTTATCATAGTGTATGTTTCAGAACGGTAGGTCCTTGCCATTTGCCTATTCGCCAAGTCAACACAGATTCTATAAAAGTAAAATATGGTGCCGCATTTGTACGAAAGAGATATTCTGATGAAGATTGCCATGAACATTTTTCTATACGCATTTCCATAACTTGAATAAGTAGTCTTCCAGGAAGCATCTTCAAAGACGAATATGCTTATTATTAATTACACAACGTATGAAACATTTAAAATACATACCGCGAATACATTGTGAAGCTATCGCCATATCGGTCAGATAGACATGCAATCTGTCTTCTCTAAAAGGACAATTTTTTAGAATAAACGGCACGTATAGCTGTGCCAATTCACATCTATATAAGCACGACTAGGTCACTGGATGTGTCTCAGTATACTAATATTTGCCTTTTTTGTTTTATTGGTAATTTGGTTTTAATTATTCAGGAGGATTTCTTGCACGTGGGTGGCAGGGTGTCTTCAAAGCAGCATCGATATGCTTCTTTTCATACGGTGGATTTGACGCGATTTCTGCAGCTGCTGAAGAGGCAAAAGACCCTAGGCGGTAAGTGGTAGGTTGGTCGCAGAACAATCTGGGTTTTTCAGCCTATTTTAGATACTGCCTAGTATACGCGTTTCCTTAATCGATTGTTATCTGCAGTCCTACTCCGTACATTCAAGTCGGTATTGGCCACGCATTTTGTTCCATCTAAGCGCGGCGCTGTTCGTCTTGTAAGCCAGTTTCGATAAGGCATCCTTTAACCGTATGTTTGAGATGATCGTCTGCTCATAGCTAGTAGATCTAGTCACTTGTTTAGATCAGGTTTTGCCTAGGTCACTAGCATTAATCAGTAATGTTCGTGATACAGATTTTTAAATAACGTACCTTTTTAAAATGCTTTATGGAAGTCTGGTCAATTCTATAGCTATTTTTTTAGCTTCTGATTTTTTTTACAACTTACACACTAGATACGAGGTAGGATATTGCGTCAATAATATTACATTCACTACCGGTTTATTCTAGAACCGATTACTTAATAAGAGGGTGTTTATAGTTGACTAGCAGTACATACCAGGTTTTTTTTCTTTTACCATAAAGACTTTTGCTTTCTCTCACTGGACAATAGCCCAAGTTGTAGCACATACGTACCGGCAAATTATCTAGTAGCGGATTGAAGTGCCAGAGCTTACTCTTCAATTAGCGCATATTTTTATTATTATTATATAATATTATTTTTTCCAATCTGTTTTAGTATCGATTTAAAATGATCCCTGGCGTTGGCTGTGACCATGATGGTGACTCCTAATGTGCGAGTAATAAATCTCACTCTAAAGTTCTCCCGACTGTTCGTAATAGATTTGGGCAATCTTATTTAAATTTAACATCGTAAGGAAATTCAGTTCTTGTAGGATTATCTTTAGAGGTTGTGTGCTAGTGCATTCCTGGGGGAATCCTCGTGCAGCGTTTAGGTTATAGGTTTAGCAGTAATCTGTTCAAAATATTTGCTTACAATTGAAGCTGAGATAGCCTTGTTAGCAGAAACAAACTTCTACCTTTATCGTAGGTCTTTGAGTTCAGTCCAGTACGAAAAAGTTTCATTACCTTAAAATCATGGCAAGGCATTTTCCGATATCTTTATTGTGTATGATAGCACTTTGAATGATACATATGTGTGCATACGAATATTATATCCAGAAATATCTAGTATGGCAGAGCAAGAGTCAGCGCATCACATATTAAAAAAATGTAACTGGAGTTTGAAATTAATTACATATCTTAGCACTTTTCTTAACACTTAGATAGACTGTTATTAACCAAAGATCAGAAGTCTAAACTGTCAAGCTAATGAAAATAATTACCTTCTAATTATATGTAAAAATTACATTAATAAGTAACCGACTTGTCTCATTGAAGGCACGCTAAGACAGCAGGTGGTACATGCAGTGGTAACTACGTATGGCCGTACCTGTTACGGGCATAACTAAATAGACTATTTTGGGCTATCCGTGCTTTGCCGAGAAAACATCAGGCTTCACCAAAGAAAACAAAATCCATGCTTAATCAATTCTGCAGGACACTTACATCATCATTGTTACCTTTACCAATTCTTAATCATATTCCGCTTTTCCTGCATCGGAATCTGCATTAAACCCGCCGCGAACTTTTATCACTGAGATTTTATTACTATTATTATTATTGAGATCTAAACTTCACCAGGCGTCCATCGTGACCAAGCGAAGTCGTAGTGGTTTGTCTGCTAAAATTGGTGCCCGTTACGCTACAAACCTCTGCGGGCTGCACAGAAAGAAGCGACGCTTTCTTTCCAGAATCATACATAATAAACACTTATAATTAGTTTGTCCTTCAATTTGACACTGGGTAGTTTCAAACCTACCACAGAAGTTTTTACATATCTAAAATATGTCTGCATAACAGTGGCTTCGACTTTAAGTAATTGAGCACAAGATATTTTTCGTAAGTTCATGGATCGGGCACCCGCAGATGGCCAAGTGTTAGCTAGTTGAATGAAGGAAGTGTTGTCGATGGACGAGGAACACGTTACACTTATGTTTGGCTCATTCTTATGCGGGTTAAATTGAATACCTTGTACGCTCCAGTAGATGCAGCTATTAGAGATGCCCCATTGGAGGTCCGCTAATTGATGGGGTTTAGCTTTGAAAAGAAGCCAGACATGTACGAAGTGGGGAATCGCGGTTTCAAATACCCTAGACTACACACCACTAGATAACCTGTGAAAAAAACAGTAAGTGATATCATCACAAACAGATATACACCGTTTAACATAATTTTATGCAGTTTACTTTTCAAGGAGTCGTGTACCCATCTTTAGTGCGTAAATTTGAAAGTGTTCATTGAATTGATCATTTTTTTTGGCATTTTATATACTCATATAAAATATATACTCAATTCACATTTCAAATTTTATATACAGACATCGAGAACACGTATAGGATATAAGATTTCCTAATATTATTGGATATAATTTGTGTAAAATTCAGTAATTTATATTGCAAGTAATTTGTCTTGTAGAGAGAAGCACATATATATATATGAGATACATAAAAGTTTCGACTAAAGTTGCGTATAAATGATTTGTTCTGCCCCGCAGGTCGATGCCGATAGCAACAATAATTGCAATGTTGATAGTTACTATGTTGTACACAGCTGTAGCTGGCTGCCTTACGTTGCTTCGCAATTGGACCCAAATTAGGATGACAGATGGTGCGTATTTGCGAAGGGAAGAATTGAAGATATCCGAAGCGGATAGACTTAACTGTTTTAGATAGGCTTTCCACGTTTGCGAGCGATTAAAGCGAACTACCCGGGTTATTACGTCAATAATAGCTAGTAATTTTCCATCTAGTTCATTTTCGAATCTGCAGGAGCTTGGTGTTTTAGATCAAGTGACACGGGATCGCGAGCGACCCCGTGCGATTCCAAAGCGTAAAACATCCGAACGTTTTTACTTTATGGCCATTGCCAAAGGCACGAACCCGAACAGACAAGGCTTCTGACATACGCGTACACATGCAAAGAAACCCAGAACGCATGCAGAACTCAGGCGAACGTAACATTCAGGCTGCCCGATGTTAACAATTAGCCCTTTTTTCTCTGCCAGAAGGTTATCGTTTAGAGTTGAGCCTATCGATACCCACTTATCATCATGCACCGCTTTGTGAGATATACCGGATAGTTTAGTTCGTTTGGTGCCTGCGATGTTAATGCGACATCGTAGACAGACAGCTAAGCTCATAAAGCCTCCGAAAGCTTCATCGACCTAACAGCCGAGCCCCTTATTTCTTGTTGGCGACGGTGACCTTCTAGTAGTCGAATATCTAATCCAATGGGCACATTCTGGCGTGACTATTCAAAAAGAACTGACGACTCCTATGGCCCACAGTGAACGCATTAGAGGTCTGATTGCGGAACGATCCGCTTGCCTGGGACGTGGCGCGTCTACGGATTCGTTCAGCATTAACGAGTGCTGTCCCGTAACGCAGCCTTCTGTGGAGTCGTCCAGCTGATGCAAAACTCGGGATGCTGAATCGCCAGCCGGCAATGTAGCCAGAATCGGATCGCTTCATCAAAGTACATTTGGCGACCGACAAGTCAAAAGTCAATGCAATATCCAAAAAACTCCTTTCGGAAAAACTATTAAGTATACGCTCTGTTAATGCTCAGTCGCTACGGCTGGGTCTTCCTTTCATTTTATTCTCTTTGCACAATGCGTGCATAGGCTACTTCTTACATGCTTGTCTTTCCTTTTACCATGCCCGATCCGATCTGATCCTGACCTCATTCAACCCTTCTGGCTTTCCTCCTAGTTCCCCCGGCACTAAACAAAAAAGACAATAAAAATAATCTGTTGCCAAGTTGACTCGAATCGTTGTAGTTTTAGTACTTATAAGTAATGACCAGCTGAATACTACTCCAGCTTTCCTTTTAAATGCTCCCGTCATGCACGAATACAGCCCCAAAGCTCAATCTTACCATCAAAGCCACTAATAATGAATTATTCCTTTGACGTACAACGATAAGTTATTTTTAACTTGGCGCATAGTTGATACCTTAAAAGTAGAGTTTTTTTTTTTTTTACGCAAAAAGCATGCGATGTTCGATGTCTATTATCTATAGAGACACTGTAGAACAAGTACTTCGAATAACAGTTTCTCTGATTTTAAATGTTCAGCTAAACCTGTTATTCTAGTGATTATCTAAATGTGTAGAAAACAAATGACGTAAGCTCAATATATTAATTTTATTCTACCACATTTACCGTTGTATTGTCGCTACTCAAGTTAGGTAAGTTAAATAATGTTTTTTTTGGCTCTAAGCGGCTGGGCAGAAGTGGCAAGCTGCAAGTTAACAGCGTAGGATGAATGCATTTGATTTCCCAAAGCAGACCAAAAACCAACCCGCATAAGATAGCGACCCAGCCACGGGACAAGATAGTGAAACACGCTGGTATGTAGTCATGTACAAGTTGGTAAGTACAAGTAACAGTTGGGGTTCTTTGCTTTTCGCTAGTCCCGATCCAAGAAGCATGGATCGATTAGTGCAGGAGTAGCTTAACTATATGCAAAGAAAAAGAATTGTTACTATCAGTTTCGAGAAGCTACCCAAGTGTATTGCATTTTATAATTTTCAGTCGTCTGCGTCAAGTGTTTTTTCAAAGGCCATTTGGACTTTTCGTCAGTGGATTATTTTATCTTTTGGCCCGTTTAAATGGTTGTTTCGTGAACAACCTAACTACAGAGGCTTCAACGAAACCTTTCCTGATTGGCCTCGCCCGTCAGACAACGAATGGTCTACAAATGATCTAATTTAAGTTCAATAATCCTCGATCGAACTGTAACTAATGGAAAGGCAATTCTTCTTTCAATTCTCAAGAACAAAATTGAAAAATTTCTAAAATTGTTCGAGAAATTAAAGATTGAGACGTTTATAATTTCCTGCTTGGTCCATAGGTTTTATTTGTATAAGATGTTATCGAGTTCGCGTGTAAGCTAGATAGGACTTTTTACGTCGTTTCTATTTTCCTGCTTTGCGAACGTACTTTCTACACAATAAGAATACAATATGTATCTCTGTGACGTTTAAACGTTGCAGGTTTCCCAGAAGCAATGAATTACAATGGGATATACTGGGCACAGTATATCATAACAGCTGGCGCATTATGCGGAATGACGGCTGTAGCGGTGGTGACTTTGTACACGGTCGTTCGTATTTCCTTTTCCATGGCTGAAGATGGACTGATATGCCCCCTCTTCGCGAAGATCTCCAAACGAAGTCAGGCAAGATTCCACTCATGTATCGTTATCTTCCCTGTTTTCTAACACAAGCAGCTGTACCAAGTTACGTTTTACACGCATTTTTCTTTATTATGTCATGTTGATGGGGGCGCTACCACCATTTGATTCGGGCCTATCTGAGAATAGTTAAATGTACTAATTATTACATAAACAAATAGTAATATGATGTGGACATCGAAATCGCAAGTTTCGAGTCCAAGTTCTGAGTGGGCAACATCTCCTCGTCTGGAGACAACAAAAGCTACAAAGTGAAAATAATAATCGTAATGATAACCGACGACGGGAGCGTTGATAGTGTATTGCATGTAGGGACACAACCCCGGAAATTAGTTTGCAGCTTCTTAACCAAGGGTCTATTAGCGCAAACGATCGCCGTATGAATTTTCTCTATTTAGAGGTTTTATTTTTTGTAATTATTGCATTTAGAAAAGCTACTTTTAAAAAACAGGTATTATATATTTTAATAGATAACGATTACTGTGACTCGATGTCACTTGCTCTCTTTATTATAGTAATAAATAATGGCGAATATAATAATAATAATTAGTGTTTTACGGCGTTTCTATTCTAATATCGCCCTTTGTCTCTATTGTGGTTGCGTATTTCAACAGGTGCCCCAATACTCTACGTTAATGTTTGCGGGATTTTCAGCATTAGTTGCCATGTTTTTCAACACTGACACAACCGTGGACATGCTCTCTATTGGAACGCTCACGGCCTACATGATGGTCACATGCGGGCTCATAAGTAACCGCTTCACGGGAACGGTAGTGTTAATATGTCGTATCATTTATTTAGCTCGAATCATTCGGTGCTGCTCACATATTCTGCCTAAACATCAATGAAGGTTGCTTACTTCGGTCGACTTTGTTAGCTTTTTATATTTTAACCGGAATATCACTAGTACAGTAAACGGCAGCAGGCAAATGAAGGTGTCGGTGAGATCAAAATCTGTGAGCAAATAAGACGGACATTACCGCTACTTCAACGATACGCTCTAGTATTTTCAGACGGTCGACTAAACCTAATAGAATGATTGAAACTTCGGCAGATAATTAGAAATTATGAAAACCTCTTCGTGCAGACTAGCGAATTATCTACTCTTCAATGGCGACAGATGTAGTAGGCCAAACATATTTGTTATATATATATATATATATATAAAAGGATACGGCGAGATTCGAGCTAATCCTTCAGAACCGAAATAATAATTGCCATATTTCAAATCAGGTGAAAAAGGTTTGCTACTAGAACGCCTACTCGTTTTTTTCCATAGCAGAATCTACGGTCTCAGATAACTGAAACAGAAACTCTGGATCTGGCACATCTCTGAGTAATCTTTAAGCTTCATGCTTTAGTAAGTCCTATTCTTAAACGTGGCAAGAATCAGAGGCCTCTAAACAGGCCCGCACAATGTTTCAGAAGTATCTTCGACTGGCAGTTGTAAAGCTTCACGTTCTAAGTCATGAATTCCTCTTATTGCTGCTACTAATAACCAGGATCTTTGGTTCACTTACAATTCATACCGAATCAAAGACGCTTTTCGGAATATTGTTGACAAAAAATAAATAATGAAGGTTCATATAGAAAACAGTCAATTTTCCGCCAAAAGTTAATTCTCGAACGCTTTCAGAAGGCAAGCGTAGCATACGTACTCCTGAGCGTAAAATGAAGGTTAACAGGCTCGGTCACGTTTTGAAGAAAGCTAATTAAGCGACTCCTCGACACTTCGACAGAATGGTAAACAGAGTGATATATATATATATATATATACACTTCATTTTACCTCCATGGATAGGAAAGGATGGATCATTGGTGGCACATATAGCTTGACCCTGTGAGCTATTCATGATCTGATGCTACTGAGTCACTCGTTCAACAAAGCTAAGAGGTTTTCCCTGGTCAGTTCTGATCAAATTATTCGCAACGTGGCGCAAATGTTGACAGTATCCTCTCATCGAAACAATATGTGACGCCATGGAAATTTTCAAACGTTTTTTCCTTTCACAGAATTCGAAAACATGACGCCTAAATCCAACATGATATACACATATGCATGCATCCCTGTTAAGCTAACTTATACTCTGAGGCCGCTTAGTTTTAAATTAATCTACCATATTTATTCCACATACAATGGCACATATATAACTCCATGTTATGATTAAGCAAAGGAATGACTCTAATAAATGCTCACTTCTTTTGGTTTGCCCTTGAAAAAGTTTGATAGTATTATTATTATTATTATTGAAAATCAATGTACCCTTGCTAGATAAAACAATGACACACATAATCGCACCTTTACCTACGAGTTGACAACATCCGTTGTTTTAGCAGCTTGCGTCAAGGCAAGCACGTACGAATGCACCAGGCTGCATGTAGCATGTACCCTATGCGCGAAGGACAATCATTTGTTTGCTTTCCTGACGATAAAAATGAATGAAGCCTCGAAGGCACTGTTAGGCTAAGGGTAGTCCATTTTGCCGGGTAATCGTCGTCCTTGGCAATGCCCACACATACATTTTGATCACTAGAGGGCAATTAAAAATGCTTTTCTTGTACCATATAGCAGCTTCCCAAAGCTGTACCGAAACACTGGTAATTACACCACGTTTCAGACACGCTCAAAGGTTATTTGCTTAGCAAGGGTAATTTGTTTGGCAGGCGAAGACAGAATAGAAAGCTTTCTATAAAGCGGGAACGACCTATGACATATGATTTAAACAAATGTTTCCGCAACAAACCCAATGAACTCTAATAAAAAAAAATTCACAATCGATTTTCTCATGGGATCGTTCAAGATAGATTTTGCCGCTGCTCGAACATTAGCTATGACATCGGTGCAATAACAAAAAGCTTCCCTTGGCATAAAGTAAACAGACTTGACATATTTACAATGCTAAAAATTCAGAACATATATAGAATAGTCAAGGACCCTTAAAATTGTTTAGAGAATACAACATGAACGTTTTAGTAATAGATGAGATCGTCGATTGTGACATAGTCTGAGTACTGTCAAAGGCCATATTGTTCAGGGTTGTCAAAACTGCGGTGGGCATTAAAATTGGACAGATCCATGTGAAACAGCGTCGGTGATGAAGGCCAAATCGAATCGAAGGAAGAGAACGGACAAGAATAGTACCTTCGTTTAGCTACGTATAATAAACATTTATTCTAATATGAAGTAATAGATGTAACAAATAAGGCATAATAACGTAGACGATAAGCGCATGTGCGCATCCGAAAAAAGTGCTGCTTTGAGCCGAATACGAATTATTCCCGTAACGAAAATAGGTGTCTTGCCCGTATTGAGAAGGCTCACAAGGACGGAGGCGAACTCATGGCTCTTGAAATGTCAGCGCCTTTTGTAGCGCATAGCAGTACGAAGAAACAGCTACTTTCCCACTACTTGTTGAGTGCAGCTTCTTAATTTTTGCCTATTTTTTTTTAGAGAAAAAATCACTTTCATTGCCAAAAAACACAGATGTTCTCATGTAAAATACGCCATACTCTCAACGCTTACGACAGCCATTTACTGCTGTAACCTAGGCCGCCAAGACTGCTACGCAAGCGTAATCTCGATCATTTCCTCGTCCTCCGTCGATACTTTGTAGATAAGTATGAACTGTGAGCGTCGCTTGGCGATCGTTGTTGCAAAAGACACTTGAGCCAGATTTCCTTTCAAACGTTTATTAACAGAGTAACCTCAGCGCGCTGCGACTGCGTTACTTCCGCCGTTTCGAGTCACACCTATCGATCATCTTCAATCAGCGAACCTACATCTTCAGCAACCTCATCATAATCATACTGACGAGCTTCGGGATGTCTTTCTTTATTCAGGTTCGTATTTATTCATTCATGATTTTCTTTTTATTTATTTTTATTTAGTTTTCAAATGTTGGCTATTTGCAGTTAGCACCTGGATGTGGGATGTGTTCGAACATAAAGCCGTTTAAAAATTGATGTATACATACCGGTTAGACTGCATTCTGTGTAATGGAACGTATCAGAAGATGTTATTATTGTCTATGTTATTTACTTAAGCCATAAGTAACACATGATAGCTAACAGGTAATTACTGTGTTAAGCTTGAAATGGGGCAGTACGCAACGCGTAAAAAAGCGGAACGGCTTATCCTGCTGGTTTCATCGGACGCACAGCGTCGTCAGCGCAGACGCTTCAGTGAACAGCCGGTATTTTTTTAGCCATAGTTTTGGCGACTTGGGCTGTCGATGGTAGAAAATTTTGACGCTATGCGACGGCTATGGAAAAGTATACGGTAGTGTCATTGACGGCTTTGGATGTAGTTTGACCAAATATATGGTGCTGGTTAGCAATTCCTAGGGTCACTTAGTTACTTAGTATAGGTCACTTAGTTTCTATAAACGGGGTATTTTTGCATGACACTGTTAGTGCCATTTTCAAATTGCTTATTTTAGGCTTAGTGTGATTATACCCGGCTGTACCTGTGGCCCATGCTTGATACGTATTGTTTAGCTAGTAGACTTGTGGAAACTTCCAGCGAAAAGTACGATGCCGAGCTACGATTACAAACGGACCAGTATCGCCCTAGGGCAACTGAGTGCAGTCCTCCTTCGTAAGTAGACTCACCGACTACAATAGCGTGAGCGCTTCAATTACAAATACTGTTTAAAACTAATGAATGATTTTTAATATCTTTATGCTAACACTGTACCTTGACGTCGGCGCCTGTTTTCAGGCCAAAATCACTTTATGTATAATTGTCGCAAGATATTAGCAAACTTAAAGTGGTCGTACATTTGAAAACCATCAACCCAATGGTGGAATCATATGACTGTTGTTATATTGAGGTTTGTAATCCAAAACTGTATGACCTCGACCACCTACTTGGAAACGCCAAAGCCTTTAGAATCCTTAGAAATTTCTATCAATAGCAATTAGATGAAGTGGTAATGTTCCGTGTTTTTCTTCAATATCATCTTGTATTTCGGGCTATTAGCAGCCATTGCGACCTTAGATGTGTGGTAAATTTATTATCTATCTCCGCGATATAGTTGCCCCGGCTTACGTCGCTATGTATTGTATTGCCGATGTTGTTATTTAAGTGTTATTCGAACGTGTACGCGTTCCGTTTTGCGGTTGCACCTTATGTTTACATACTGTAGACGGGAAGAGGAAGGACTGTTCTAAAAAAAAAACAAAAAGGCGTTCAAGAATATGACGTTTGGCTCATGTAAGGGTTTCCTTCTGCCTGTATGCCATAGGGGGTAACTGCGTCTCGTTCTATGTTAACTCGTCTTGTGAACCACTAAGTGTTATATTAGGTTGGAAAGAAAGTTACAGCGCTTTCAACTTTCTCACTTCCCCTCACCTGTTGCTGGTTTCTGATATATGGTTCCTTCTGAATATCAGCGTGCTATGACAGTGTTAAGTTATGAATGCAACTCGAGTTCGAAAGAACATTTCGAATATAGGTGCGTGAGGTAAAAAGAAGCGTTTTTTTTTTTCAATTCAAATTGCATCGAATCAATCAATCTCTTCAAGTGAGAGTACCCGACGAACGAGGTTTGATCATCGTGTTCCGTGACAACGCGCTAACATGGCAAATATCGTCAGAACTGCCTTCATGGGCTTCGAAAGGGAGACTTTACTGCACCCTCCGTACTCTTACCAGGTTTTCACCGTTTTCGCTTACCGGAGGTAGTTACATCCGGTCAAATGCTCAAAACCCTTTCGAGAGCAAATTCGCTAAAGGACGTCGTGAAACATACTAATTCATTGTCACTGGACAGTTTTATCAAATTCAGCTTTCTGTCCGATATAATACACGGCCGATTTAGGCATTATTAGATAAACGATATTTCGCTTCTAATAGACTATTTCACTATAATTAAAATGGTACCAAGTGAAGCAGGTTTTCGGGCGTCTGTAATTGAACAGTATCAACATACGAACTTTTAAATTGCATTACTGTCAAAAATTCGCCAACAAGAAATGATCGTGAAATTACTATATAAATCAATTCACTAACGATCGGATTAGTGTCAAGCCATATTACTACAGCAGTTCGTCTCGTACCAAACTGTACTGAAGTACACGACGACTATGAATGAAATGGGGATTTTGACTTACGAGGCTGTGCGTTCCGATAGGAAAATAGCAATAATGATATAATACTATATTCTCTGTTAGGTTGTTTGTTCTAGCTGGATAAGGATATCTCAAATGACGTTTCCGCTAAAGTGATATTGGATTTTCTTCTTGCCATATAGTAAGCCGTCAGCATACGGCCTTTAGCCAATTGGGAGTATTCGAGGGCCCAGCATTTTTCGCTAGTTTCCCAAAAAGAGACGCTTCAAAATTGCCTATAGATGGTCTGATCTTTTCGAGCACGCTCAAGAAACGACATGCGGCCTCATAAGCAAACCTTGGCAATAATATAACGTCTGGTAATTACTCATGGTCAACTTTGTAGCAGGTTTGAATTTTGGAACAGTGCTCGTGGGGGTCACCCATCTGACGCGGTAAAAAATGTGCTAGTATCTCAAATATGGTACTTGGTTGTTTGGCAGATTAAATTGAAACGTTTATTGATTACTCGTATATACAATGAACTTCATCAACAATGTATATTATAAGTCCACGCTATTGCTTCCCTTTTCTAAGAACGAGTCATAGTTTCATTTTTCTCCAAGTTACGACTAGTCTTAAAATAGGTTGGGTCTTGTTGTCTCGAATGTGATCGGCCTATTCGATGCAATGTCGAGTGGCATAGTAAAAAAAAAAAAAAAATACTGTTTTAGTATCACGTCTAAGAACAGTTTGTGTTTGGTTTTTGGTCGACTGCCATGTTGTGTCTGTTTCGAATTTGTTTACTTTAATTCTGTGCATGACAGTTCCGATGGATGCTAGGAAGCTTTACTTAAAGCATGACGATCGTTCATAACACGGGTCTTTTGTTTGTTTGTTTGTATCTTTTCGAAATTCAAAAGATTAAGAACCGTTCTCCGTTTGCTACCTAGGAAGAGCTCTGCTGGCACACTTCTTAGCAAATTTTAAAGACTTTTCAAGAACACTGAAGCCGGTTTGTTGGCACGCCGTGTTTTTCTGCACCTTTTTTTTTTTTAATGTCGACAAATCTTGCCGGGGTTTGAATTTGAATATTTGACGGGGGGTGAAATCGTGCGGTCTTGACGTAATCAATACGTAAAAGTTTGACGAAATCTGCGCATGTTCGTCATGTAAATTGGGCGCCGTTGTCAGTGACGATTTTCGTATGGGTTGCTGACACCTGTGTTGCAGTGCGTGGATGGTTATGTTATTTGAAACTTAATTCAATACGTATATTTAAACATATGTTAGATTTTACAAATTGTTCTGGTTTAAGTTGTTAGCTTGTATTTCTTATTATATGCTTCGTCGAAAAGCATTTGATACTGTAATTCTATTGCTTGACAGAAGGTGTCCCTTCCTCATAGATAGCGAATCATGATCGATATGGAGGCAAAATAGTAAATCGTTGGGTGGCAATAATATTAGCCATGTATTCGATGAAGTCATGTCGTTGATGGCCTTATGGCGTTGATGGCCCTTAGTTCTACTAATAGAGAATGGCCGTTTTCTAGAAATGAAGTATTCAATTTTGTCTTAGCCCGGACAATAACTTCATCGTCAAGTTCTCTTCGGATCCGTTGATTAGCAGTAAGCCGGGGCAATAGTGTTGTCGAAATCATTTGTTTTTTACTGCTTTCTTTAGTCAAATTAGTTTTTTAGTGAAATTGTCGCCCACCTTTCTAATCTGTTAGCCGTATATACATTGAAATTATCTTCCTGCATCGATTATCATTAGCTGTTTTTTTATCGTCGATATGTAGAACTTTTGCCAAGGATATCGATGCGAAGTTACAATATGAAAGCGATATTGGCTGGCGTCGTAGTCGACGAATGAATGAATGAAATTTAATTGTGTGATTTTTTAGCTTCATTTCCGGATTTCTGACATTTTTTCGACTATTCCTAGAAAAGGGTTTTTCTATAGAAATTTATCAAAGGATTCATTGAGTGAGTTTTTTTTAGTTTACTTAGAAATACTGAATAGGGTGTGAGCTTTTCCATTAATGATCATATGTTTGATACACCTATAGGCGGATTCAACCATCTTAGGATATGGTTTACGACCACCAGGTGTAATAATGAAGCCTAAGCAGTTAGTTGACGTTTCAAGGAACTTGCATTCTTCAAGTTGGTCTTTGAATGCGACACCTTTATTTCCTTGGATGAGTCTAGTAGGTTTTTTATATCCGGTAGAATTTATAATAACGGTGTCATCATTTCTCAGCTCATTTCATAAATAATGTCACCTCTTGGAAGATAGCAGGGGCTATTTTTATTCGGAGCTGATTATACCCGTAGACACCTTTGGGAGTTCCTTCGGTTCGTCCTCAACTTCAATCTATAAATTTATCGTCGAGAGGTATTTTCCGCCATTGAGCATGCTAAGGTGTCAGCGAATTTAGTAATCGGTAATGCTGATCTTCTGTTACGTCATTTAGGCCGCCGGGGGAATCTACGCATAATCTCATGTCACCCGCTTTTTTCCTGTATTATTGATACTCAAACCGTATATTCTGAATAAGTGACTTTGTAACAAACGCCAGTTTTAGGTCGTCGGCCTATATTCTTCTCTAGTCAAAAAGAATAGGCTTTCGACTCCTAATAGAGATTTTTCCTGCTCCTACTTCCACTCGAAGATAAGCTCTCATGTTAGTGCGTTTACCTAATCCATTTTTCGGCGTGTCCACTCTCAGTTATCCATCGAATCCTTTCTCATTTTTTCAAGATGGCCAATATCATTTTAAACGTCCACAATTTCTACCATTGCATCTATCTCCCCGGATTCCTCGACCACTCGAGTTTTTGTACTTGTTGCATGCACTAATTTTTAAAAAGTTTTATATTGCGGGTAATAGCGTAACGGTTATCTCAATGCCGTTCGTGAAGAATATCCCATACAATTAAGTGTTTACATACTGGGTGCATCTAGTGATGAGCTCAACAGATAAATTGTATGGCCACCCACTTAACCTTCCTCATTCGAAATTATAAAGCCTGATTTCACTGAAAAAGAGAGCATTATTAGCAACATCGATGTTAGATGCAATACAAAGAAGAAAAAAAAAGTTAAATAAAGAAAAATCGACGTTATCTTACATTAGTAGGTTCCTTTTATTGTATTATCCTATATATTATATATATATATATTATATATATACTAGGGATAGAAGCTACCATATTCATATAAGCATTCATGGGAGTAGCAATAATAATAGACAGCAGTACTGTATTATTATTATTATTATAATCCGCACTTGAGTGTTCTTATTTCGAAACCCTGTTCTATGTAAATGACGCAGGGCTTATGGACAGACTCAACCTACGGAAGTCCTATTTTATTGAGCCTCTTGCTCGTAACCTCAACAATCCTGTTAGCTGTCCTTCAGGAGGTGCCCGACCCGTACCAAAGTTATAAGGTAAGCAGTCTGTTACTTACTATCTGTAAGTTGATGGTAGCTTTTGGCCAAACGAACGAGCTTTAATTATATTTTCTTCATGCACATCTCTTATGTGTGCCATCAAATGATTAAGGTGAAAGATAACACAGATATAAAAGCCACACTAAATGTCCAAGCAATAGCTATTAACAGAAGGGCTGTTTAGCACATCCCTTGCTTTTCCCTAACATTAAGATTAATGGCCAAATGACGAGCAAACACAAGAAGGTTGTTAAATTATACATGATCAGTAATACTCCAGTAGACCAGAGAACGTCATTGCAATTGTGTCGATACCTGTCTTTTTATAGTGCGAAAGCGATATCAAACACTTAATATATAATAACGTTTTCCTATTAGTGCTACTACGATAAGTTTGTTCTATCTGTTTATAAATATGTGTATTATCTGTACCTGTATAGAGGATCTAGCGGTGCTAAACGTGAGCTATAATCGTTATGGGTTGTATTGCACTCGACAAATCCTGAAGAATACGTATTATGCAGATGAGGATTGACCAGGCCTTTGTCGAGACCTACCGGTACTATTTCAGGGAGACATTTACGATTATTAGAAGAAATTCATTTTTAATCGTATTATGTCTATCTAAACGTTATTCGCTGTGAAGAAGTTCTTCTATATTTGAACATCTAAAGTGAACTCTTAGTGTACCTACTACGTGCCTCAACCAAAATTAACGCATTGCGTTTGATGTCATTAACAACAGAGTAGGTTAAAGTCCGGAATAGCGCTCATGGAAATTCCTAAATTCTCCTAAACGATCTAGAATAATGGAAAGTGTCGTTTTTAACGTATTTTAAAATTTTTCAACTGTGTGCATTATGATTTAGAAAATTAATCGGTAGCACATTTAACTTTGCCTTACGCATAACAACATAACCTTGCCATACGCTCATATCGTTACACGCTCTTTTCCAAAACGCAGAGAAACAATTAACGTACGAGTCACGCGACACGTCCTCGAAGGGTTTGCAGATCAAACTCGTGACCTTCCAAATGTATCTGGTACACACAAAGCCAATTAGTGTCGGCTGTATAAGCCGAAATAACAGCAGAATATTACACGATTGTATATATACATATAATTTTACTGGTGATGTCTTATCACTGTAAAATAATTTTGTGGCTTAAGAGTGAAAAATGACAGCAAATGCACCGTTCAATGGAAGCCAAATTAACGCCGTTAGGTGGGTTCTATACGGACCGGAAGTGATGATAGTCTACTGGTGCAAGATACAGACTATACAACAGATGCACTAAAACTTCTGTCCCAATTTCTTTCGAGGTAGCTAAAAGTTCAAGTTATTTGACATTGGTGGCCGTTTCTGTTCACTAGTTCCGATTCATATTTTCAATGGCTTGCTGTAAGATTCGAATCAGTCGTTTTTCCAGGTGAAAACAACATATTTCCTTCTTATTATTTCAACATATTTCAATAGCAATTTCTCTTCAATCTCACCAAGCACGTTCTTTGCCATCAGTTGAAGCTTCATCACAGTTTGGGCCCCACAGTTTGTGGGGCGTTTTCCCGCTTTAACTACGACTTTTTCGCACATCATTGCCGTATGTAACCCACTTTCCATTAGCCGCAACCAAGCGTTTTCAAGGAGACACGATTTCATTGCGTTTCTGCAGAGCTTCGCATACGGAAGTATGATTAACTAAGTTCTTTTAAAGATTGAACTTGTTTTAAAGTCAGCTTTTTTTTTTCAAAACTTACTAACGGTGACGTATCGGTCTCGATCACCTTTCGCAATATTTGCAGCAACTTTGTTTATAATTGGTTGGCTACTGAGAAAGGTATCATGCACATCGAAATTTTCCAACGCGAAAGCGATAAAATAATACTTAGGCCGATATTTTTCTGATAACGCAGCCCGACCATAAACAGCGTAACTTTTTTTAAGTTCGGGTCATCTTTTATCGTGGTCAGATTATAAGATAAAACGAACGAATTTTTACACACGTTTCACTAATTTTCATAGACCTCTATCTTAAGACTGGAAAAGGGTGTTCCAATGACCACTGTCAAATAAATCCTTGTTTTCAAATAACACCAACATCGAACCCGATGCAAATCATAAGAGAAGTGTGTCTAAAGTTATCTAACTAGAGAGACCGTCAATACCTTTTCGACCATCCAATATTTATGCGGGCCCCAATGGATAATTGCGCTGCGAAATTCTAAACTGTATATCCATACTGAGCAGCACAGTAACAACTTGTATTATATACTTAGTAAAAAACAAAAAATTACGAAACTATTACAGCTATGATATAATCGTGAAGCCATTTTCTTAATAACTGCCAGGGATCAATTGTTTCCACTTATCCAAAGAACAGCCATACGGTGCAGAACCGGCTAGTCCAATCCGTCCTTATTCGTGTCTCTTCAATCATGTGTCATAACTAAAAGAAGACAAACCGTTTTACCGAATCCGGCTAGCTTGTTCCGAGAGTCTTCCAAGTAAAATCTGTCTGACTAGCTGTCCAATTACCTGTATAGGTTAATTGGATCTCCTCTATCCCGTAAGATTAACTGTTGCTGGTTTGTGGCTCTATGAAGCTCTCATAATAAACTCGAAAAACACCGTGGAAATTCTGAAGAAAATTTTTTTGCACTATTTACTGAAGCCGCTGCTAACCATACATATGCTTGACCTTGAGTACCGTGGAATGTTTGCCGATGTCCTGACCCAAGCGTGAAACCGTTTGTCTAGGGGCAAGCTGCCTAAGCTAGAACATCCATTCCGTCGACTTACTTTGCCAACTTCTTTAATATCAACGCGAGTAGTATTTACTTTTTTCAACAGTAACTGTTCAAAAGAGGACGACCCGGTTCATTCCGTCCACCAGCAAGAGCTCGTAGAAAAGCTGTCTTACGCTAAAACCCTCTAGTCTCTTCTTGTTTTGTCCTCATTCAGTAGACTTTCTTATCTAGTCAGCATGAACAGCTAGTAGTTAATTAGTTGGGATTAAAGAGCTAATTGAAACCATGATATCCATCTCCTCACGTTGACGAAGCTGGACTATGAAGAACGTCTCCTCCTGCGTACATTAAGCCGTCATTGTCGCCACCATGGACGCCGTCTCTTCACTGCGGCTCTCGAAAAGGAGCAGTACCTGCTATAGTGTGTTAAAAATACTCGTACGTTGCGGGACGTTCGCGTGGGCAATTGCTGAATCGATACTGCCACAAGTGCATGACTCATTTATTAAGCCGTTATAAGATAAAAAATTCAGTTATAAGAAAAAAAGAAAAGAAAATTCATTTTTTCAAATGACTAGTAATTGATGTCGGATAACGTTCATAACCGGCGTCAGTCTGATAGCTCCTTTTTCTCACTAGAAATGACAGTAGCTGTAACCTACTTTATAACTGAAGCTTACCTAAGTTAGACATGCTGTATTGCTCTTCAAAGAAAGAGTGCATTTTGTGCAGGCGCTAAACGCGTGCTATAGTGACGCTAATCGTGACGGCCTTCTTACTCTGTTAACTGCCCGTTGTCACGTGTGGCAAAAGATTCCTTAAAAAGAATAGTATAGTAGCCGAAATGGCCGACTGCGTCGTTTGGGCAATAGGATAATCAGAGCCCAAAAATGACCGAAAACGACAATTTTTCCTCATGTTCTCAATGGTATCATGTTTAATAAATACTGGCTTGGAAATATAAAATAGTGTCGTTAGACGTATCGACCGTTTCCTTACCGTTCCGTTATTATATATTGCGTTTTATTTTCTGTAGCGATTGGAAGATCTCAACTCGGTAACGATTAGGTAATTGTTCGGCTTTATTTTTATTTAAATTTACTATCATCGCTAAGTCTGCTAAGCGAACTCTAATGAAGAAAATATAAACAATAGACGTTTGTTTCTGTGTTATAGATGCCGTTAATGCCCTGGTTGGCTGTCGTATCGCTTGTTTTCGACTCGGTTTTGATAAGCACGCTACCAAGTGTGACCTGGATTCGTTTCCTTGTCTGGCTGACCATTGGTAAGACACAGGCGTAGATTTTCTAGTCACTCAATCAATCCGTTTTATTCTTCAAAAACCATATATCATCATATATGTAAAATAACAACCTACAACGAGCTGACGTATTAAAAGGAACGTTGTCACTTTGTCCCGCGTTACGTAAATCATAACTTTAATACTATTATAGCTCACCCCCTTTTCTGAGTTGAGCCGATAATGTGAATGATTCTAAGAGCTATCGCTTTAATTGAAAGATACAATGTACCATTATATTTCAGCAAAAACAGATCGCAGTCAGTGGAAACGCCTATGACTGAATGAGTATAGCCTAGAATTTAATACATCCTATTATATGCTGACCTAAGCTCGGAGTGAGTTTATATAGAGCTTTATACAAGTTTTATAGTGTTATAATTAATAATTGGGTTGATGATGATCGCAGCAAATTTGTTATACAGGGTAAGCAAGGCGTAAACGTTACCGCTGAACTAATATAACTTACACACGCTAGAATGGTCAGCATATGAGAAAAGTTAGTTCTATTCTTCAAAAGGGCGCTTTTTTAACAGTGCAATATTTTGATACACTTTTTTTTTTTTAATTTCTGGGATGGCACGTGCACTCTTTGGAATCCCGGGCACTTTACTCGGCTATGGTCACCCAGGAAAATTTTAGTGGGCGTCAGATGGTTTACAAATATGGCTTACGTTTTTGCTACAGCGGTAGAGACGATTTGCTATATAGACTTCTATCTACTAATGGAGATACCGTGAGTCGTTGCTTGAAGAAGTAGCTGGGAAAGACTTTGAGCTCCAAAAATAGGCTCGTGGCTCGTGGCTCGTGGAAGGCAGATGACAAGGTTAAATGCAAAAGCAAATGTCCAGAGCTGTTGGCCTTAGCCTATTTCTACATTTACAAGTGTATGTAAATATATTTTCCTGTTCTTTTCGGTTAAATTAATAGGGTTAGGTAGTTTAACCAATGGATGCTATACGGTTTGAACGAATATTAGAAACGGCGATAATCGCTTCATCCTAAAACAGACACGGTGGTCTATACCCAAAATTGAATTGTAGCTTGTGACGAAAACGGATAAGCTATAAAGATTGCTAAGGCACCAGCATTAAGCAAATGTATGGCTACAAAATGATCAACAATTGGGAAAGACGATGAAAAGATTTCGCATTAAACAGTTAAGATTATTAAACAGCTCCAAGCCACTCCCGTTGTACGATAAGACCCGGCCTTGCACGACGGAAATCAAGGGGATAAAATGCAAAAGTCCACCGTACTCACCAAACGTTGATCCCACAAATTACGGTTTTTCCGAATCTCGATAACTTTTCAACAGGAAGATTGTCGAATTTGCAACAAGATGTCCCCTATATTTCTACAACAGTGTGATAAATAAATTAGTGCTGATTCGTGTGCGGAATCAGCTCGGCTCTAGTATGATTTACCAGAGAATATTCTAGATCAAAGAAGTTATATGCTTGGAGAATTAAAAAAGCGCGGCGGGTACCGAATATGGACTACCGCCACCTTAGCGCGGTGTCATTAAAAACCATTTAACACAATAAAAAGTATTTACATTAGAACAAGGTGGCCAGGCTGATTACGGATTCTTTCTTATGCTCTGCTTCTAAGACTATCTATATAACAGACATTTCAAAGATAAATTTTCCATATATAAAGTATCGTTCCTGATGGTTATGTCTATTCAATATAGCTACCATTGACCGCCTACACCGCTTCAATTTAAAAGCTACACAGCTCACAGATTGGTTTCATATGTTTTTTTTTTTTCATATGCACGAACGGTAGTACACGTGAGCGGGTCGACGTTGTGGGAATTAAGCTTCCATTCGATAACGCCCAATATCTATTCAACCCAACGAATTAAAATCCCGATCCGCCAGACGTACAAACTAATTTCTTTAGCGACATGGTTGTTTTTTTTTTTCTTTTTTCTTATGGCTGTACGACTGGATATCGCATTAACACGAGCGTTGAATGAAAAATTACCCATAGTGCGTTCGTCTTTTGGATAGTGAGCGAGCCAGCCGTCATGTCTGTCGTTAATTTTTCAGAGAAGACCCCGAAAGGCCTGGCTGCTTTCTTCTTATAAGATCTCAGTGATACAATAAACTAGCCTTATATAGTTAAACTTAGAGAGCAGCTATCTGAGTTTTATGGTATAACATATGCCTGGGATACTGTTCGTCGACATCGATCAACTCGATTTTCCTTAGCCGTCCATCCTCCGCTACGGTCTGCAAGCATTCGCCTTTATTTGTTTTTTGCTCCGCCATTTGCAATTAACTCAAACAGTACATAAATTGCATCGTGATAGCCTTCTGTTGCAATAAACGAGCTCCTTAAGACGACTGTAAGCACGTAGCCATTTTAAAAAGTTTTAACTACTTTATCACGCTAGACAAACATAATAATTAGACAATATTGGCGTCAGATTTTTTGCAGAAGAGAGACTGAATTGTAAGTTAAAGGACACATCTACGTTTTGTTGAAGTTGTACTAAGATCTAGTTTATCTGAGTACGACCGACGGCGCCAGTTTGTTGATCATGTGAATACCAGTAGTCCACGTGGCATATCGATCGCATAGAGTGATCATGTGGACTCGAAAATAAGGTAATATTTTCCGAATAGGCCCTCTATTTCAAACTGACCAAAACCTAATCGAGTCCAAATGACAACAAGGAAGCTCCTTTAGATATCAAGCTCATAGCAAGTACACGTAATTTTATTACGAATTCATTTTTTTAAGCTATACTTCTTACTATGGCTATATTTCATATTGAGGATAAACATATGTAAACTAATACTCAATAGGGTTTATAACTCAGGCAACATCAGATAGACTTATTTACGGTACTGTTAGGTTTTTCGTATTTTGCAGTTGTTAATCCGCAGGCACCTCACTGCTGCAAGTAAAAAAAACGCATATAAAGTGTGTAGCCGAGTTCTAGACTCGGAATCTAATTCCATATCCTAACAAGTCATCAAAAACCATATTGTCGAACGATCTAACGGTGGCCGAAACGAGCACCAACAAATATACCGAATATATCCGATCAGGCGATGATTAACCCCTACAACTGCGTTAAACTTATTTTGTAAACAAAACAACTTCCTTGTGATATTAATGGCAAAAAAAACAATTAAGTAATAATTAGGGTAATAAGTGTAAAAAGGTTAAATTATCATTATATTATTATTAATAATATTATACTCTTTTACCTCGCATATTTATTTTGATCGCCCATTAGAGTTCTCAGATCGGAAAAAGTGTTGTAGTATGTCGGAACAGCTTTTTGCCACAATTCCACAATATATCCTCTCAGGTTTTCTAAAGAAATCGAGGGCTATACAAGTCCGTGTATCTCTTACTATTTTGTATGTAGCGATGCGAGAGAGCGAGCGAGATATATATATATATATATATATATATATATATAGAGAGAGAGAGAGAGAGAGAGAGAGAGAGATGCAAGTATATGTGCGTGGAAGAATAACAGAAGAGAGGCATTGACTAGTAGTTAGATTTAGCCGCCGGAGCTATGGCCTGGGCGACAGTTTTCGAAACGGGCAATCCAATTTAACTACTGGCAATATGTTGGCAGATCCTCTTATTTTATTATATAGAGGATTAAGAATACAGGTTTGAAAGAAATAATAATGTCGGAAATGCCTTACAGAGTAATTTAATTGTCAGCTTCTTGTTATTGAAATATTGATGTTAGTGAATTCGGATCATTATTCTTAATATAGGCAAGCATATTTCAGCTAACAGGGGCACGGGCATACAGATACAAATAACATGATGTATTAGATCTATTGTTTGGCTATACTGAGTGAAAAGATCTACTAACCTTGGGAGAAGCATTCATAATTTCAACATTCCTCTATGGGAAGTAACAGAACTGCGCCCTTGTAGTCTGGCTAGTGTTATGTTTCGCCTATTTGTGTTTATGAAATAGATGGAAAAAGAAATCCGGATAGTAAATGGAAATCCAAGGAAAAGATTATGGAGATCCCTGGAGGCTTATACTTGACCTAAGACTCTTAACGAAGTTACGACCAGATAACCTCCAAACAGGTCTGTGCCACATAATACCATCGCTCTAGAGAATAGTCCCCACACTCCCAATATATATATGTTTGTGGGGCTATAAGGAGCACGGGACAGAAGATCTCAGTAACTTTGTTTATTAACCCTGTTGACATGTTTTTAGCCGAGACTCAGGGTCACTGTTGCACGATGTAAGCGTGATCTTGTTTTGGATAAATCTACTTTTGTTAATTTACGACTTATTTCTTTTTCGACTACTTCGTGTACAGAATATGTAACTTACAGTTACAATTACAACGACAAATAAAACAAGGGAATCTACTTTTCTGTATACGTTAATTCACCTTGACCTAAATGGCTATAAGCTTATCGAGCACTCAGACTCAAATAACAGTCTAACGTACCGCTCAGTTTCATCTAATACGCCGAGAATGGTCATGGCTTGTTCTAATGAAAGATGGGTTCTATCCGCAGTAACAAGTTATCTTTCTGTTAGTTGGAACTGTTTGTGTAAAAGCGACAGAAATCACTGAAAGAATAGACATGGGCCTAGGTGCTAATTCAATAGATGCATTGTATGAAGGCGGCCATGTCAGTTGAGAATTAAACAAGTCATGGCACCTTCTAAGACAATCATTATATCGTTGATATAGACAGGGCTGATTAGGTGTTCACAACTAACGTATATTATGTAGGCCGATAATAAGTAAAGTTGAGATTCAAGACAGTGATATATGTGGCTGTTAATTACGCCCTTGCCCGACCTTGTTCTTTTCGACCTTTTAGTGCTTTTAATATACGACACGTTAGATTTATTTACGCTTCCGTGGCGTGTTCTTTGCCGCGATACGATTATTTACACTTGAAGATAAAATAGCTTAACCCGGCCACTAAAAAATGTCCGCTCACATTTGGGTAAATGTACAGCGGGAATACCTTAGCCCTTTACACACCATGTAAAGATGATTTGACTTCTCATCTAATGTAACAAACTTGCCCCTTATTAGTCCTAAAACTTAAAAGCTATGGCTAACTATTGGCGATGCTGGTTGTGTAGGTGTACAATAAGTTGCTTTGGGTGTGCTGTTTTGGAAACTATATGCGACAGACGTCCCAAGCGCTGCTTTCCCGATACACCTCTTAACAGGGAGTCACATATATTGGCAGGGATTGTTGTAAACGGGAACAAAATGGTGCGACTTAGAATTAGCTGCCCATATGATCGTCCTAGCGTAGAGCAAGTCGGCTTGAAATAGTCCAGATAAATCGAGAAAGATGCTTACGGTTCAACGTTAAGACAGTCTGTCGCAGATTGTCGCCAGCAATTCTATGCTATATAATATTACTTCCATTTTAATAGATTTCTTACATACACGTTACCGTAGCCAGCTTAAGTCAAGTCAGCATTTTCGGACTGCGCTCTGTACAATGCGGTATGCAAAAGAACCCAATTTTTCTCCAAATGATTCCATATGCGACCACGATGAACGTATTTTTAGTAGCTGCGCCCTACTGCTGCTGCAGCTTTGATTTTATAAAGCAATTCCTATTGGATAATTGCCCAACTAAAAAATGTCGAACGTCATTATAAATATCATTCTCTCTCAGAAAGCCCAGACGGTATATCTTTATATCCTGTACTAGATATGTTCCAGGACAACATATGTATGTGCGTCAGCTAACTTGTAGGTACTACAACATAATGTAGTTGTTATTCGCTCGTATATACTACATGGTAGAATCTGTACCTTATAGGCAATCAATCTAATTAGGACAATAAGCCACATGTGTAGAGTGAAATAGGTATTTTTTTTGACAGTTCGATAGCTTTTTACAATGTCCATATGTATATTTCAAGTGAAGTTTTTCAAACGGGGAAGCGAGGGCAACAGGAGCGACGCAGTCTATTATTGTTATTTGTGTTGTGTGGAACCACGGGCGCCTAACACGCCATACATTGAGGGGTAACAAGTTGCTAAAACAGGGGGTGTTATCATTATCTCTTTTTCTGTTTTGTTCGCAATTTGCTTTGCTTGTATCTATTTACTCTAGGAACAATCCTGTATGCGACGTACGGCCTGCGGCATAGTAAACTCGAAATGAATAAGGACTATCCGATCTCTGCGAATGAAACGTCGTAGTTGACATTCAATAGGTCTATGAGTCGACTCGATTTTTCATGTAATCATATCTAATCAGAAGATTCCTAGAAAATAAATACAGTAATTTTTACCTAGGAACGTACCTAGGTGTCGTCTTGAACTATGGAAATAGCTAACAATTCTCCCATGGGATTCTGGAACGATACATATCGACGAAACAAAATAGGAATCGACGAGCCAACACGAGTACCGATCGAGCAAATGTCTGATAAATAATGAACTAGCCTTTGTAGAAATTATCAGATAGCAGCATATTTTAGGCTCGCCTGTGGAAGCATGACTACGCATACTGGGATGGATACATTGATTAATATGTGTTTGCGTAGATAACAACATTCATCAGAATATAGTTGGGCTTAAAGCTATCCCGCTGTTCGAGCACGACGCCAGGCTGGAGTTCACACATGAGCTTTGCTTGCAAATTGTATAAGCCGAGTCTACTGTATAAACCCATATACAAATATAAAATTTTCTAGATTGTTTTATTGTTATCGGCCATCGTTTAGTTGAGTAAGCGAAAAGGCGCGAGCGTCGGAAAGCATCGTTAAATAAATGCAATTCCTGTAGTGGGAACTTGTTTTCACTTAATTCCAAATATCGTTGCACCCAAAATTTGCTATGATCCCTGGTTATGGGAATCGACCTTAATCTGCTATGCGCATACTTTAAGTTGACGGTGAAAGCAAACGCCAGGCGAGACCTAATAATGGGCAGGTGTCAAAATCGAGGCTTCCCCGGGTGTTTGCGCGAGAAAGGCTCGTCAGTCGAGGAGTCTATTTTCCTCAGCTCGCCTCAGCGTCTCGCGCTCCAAACACGGCCTCGGTTCCGTTGCATATGACACGACTATGCGTCACGAGCTGAGTCAGATTATGGGTAGATCGAAGCACTCCCGCTGCTCTTACAGTTCTATATGCAATGATTATCTGTCTGTGGAAGAGAGGGTGGTGACTCAACGGTAGAAGCGTCAGGTGTATGACCGAACTGAGCCCTGAAATCCTTGAAAAATAGAAACTTAGATCCCAGCCCGAACCGTTAGCGTTAGGTACACACTCATAAGCTGACCTGCTAACGCTCGTGTTTGGCACACCATGTTTAGGTAGACACAGACCTACCCCCTGTTCCGTCGCTAAACCTGTTCCAGCGAAGGCTTCACTTCCGTGACGCGGATACGAATCAGTGCGGCTCTTGCATTGCCTGTTAATGCTTGAAAAATTATGAACAATCGAGCAGTTATCTCTATCCGAAAATGTTTTTCGTTAACGGGTTGTTTGCCAGGCTATGATGCTAGCTCGGGTTCCTCACCGACTTCTTGAGGTAGAAAATAACTAATTAAAGTCGGTGTAGGAAAAGTTAGTTCTGCTAATATTTCGGATAAGTTCTCACAAGGCCTGCTTAAAATGCAGAGATTGGTACCTAGTCGACAAAACTGATATGGGAATAGCTGGATATGTACAGGAAGTTATATAAGAAGTATAGGCATAGTTGTACTAGACTAAAAGTTGCGAAAGATGTGCTATTTTCAGCTTCGATGATAACGTATTCGATAACATAGATCGATATCTTATAACGTTGCAGTATCTAATTCATTCAAACGATCATTTAATGTCTAAACACTATTTTGTATTGTTATTTTTGTTAAGTTCTCGATTAGATTTAGCCAGACGCCTTGTGATTTATGCTTAGTATACGTTTCGCTCGTATCTGTGTCTCCTTCAGCTTCCTTTCAGTGCCGCTACGCTTCTCGGACCTTCTCTAAAGCTGGATTAGCCTGAATTCAATTGCCGAATCTTAACATTGATTGTTTCCCATCATTTTCCTAATTAACTAATCACTAAACTATTTAAGATTATGTAACGTCACATAAT